TGCAAATTAGTATTCACTGGATGCTAGAACCTTCTTATGAAAACCACTATTCTTCTAATAAATTTTTGTTGTGAAAAAGTGTTGGGACTGTTTTATTGTGCTGTTGCATGTTTCTACTGATGTTTCTGATGGAATATATCTATTTTTTTAGTCACGTCATATGAAGTTTACTTCTTAATTTTCAAGAAATCTCAGTCTTAAGGTCTTAAACATTTTCTAGTGAATGATATATGAACGCTACATTATTTCAACCCTGTCACAGTAAGTCACTAGTTTAATTATAATTTGAATAGATAATGTGCCTTGTAATCAATCACAAATGATAATAATAAAAAATAAGCCATTACATTTCTCTTTACACACGTTTTGCACCAACCCTATAGCATTCAACATTTTACAGGGTTTAAGATCAGTACAACGTCTAACATTTTTAACTAGCAAATATCATTACACCACAGCACATTTTGTATAGTCAATTGTTAGATAATGATCACTGCAATTTTCCCCATAGCAGAGTTGAACTAGACAGACTGCCAAGGCCAATATAAGCATACAATTTATCACTACACTGTCAATATTATCAATATTTCATTTTGTCCATAAACTGGCCATTTCAAGCTTGATAGTTCAATTCTGTTATGGAACAACTGATCACTGTTATGTTTTAATGGAGTTGAGCTACAGTAGCGAGATTAACAAGGCCTTGTCAAGCTCAACAGTTCAACTCTGTTATAGAAACAAGTGAGCACTGTTATTTTTTTTCCTGCATGAGAGTTGGAACTATAGAAACATTTTTGCACTTTACCACATTTATTGTTGTACTTTGTGGCCCAAAAAAAATCCTGATCACTTATTTATCTTGTTTTTTTCCTCCATAAAAGAGCTGAACTACTCTAGAGAGATTGACAAGGCCACGTTAAACTCAATAGTTCAACTTTGCTATGGAAACAATTGATGACTGCTGTTTTGTTCCCACATAACAGAGTTGGACTATTGACACATTGTTGCACTCCACCATGTTTATTGTTGTACTTTGTGCCCCAAACCCAAACAATTGATCACCCCCATAACAGAGTTGAACTACTGTAGAGAGATTGACACGGGCACGTCAGCCTCAATAATTCAACAGTTACGGAAACAAATGATCTACAATTGTTTTCAGTAGTTGAACTACTGAAATATACATATTTATTGTACTTTGTGCCAAAAATGATCCCAATCACTGCATTTTTCTCCCATAACAGAGTTGAACTAGCGTGATTATCATTATACTATCATTATCATTATACTGTCCTAATCAGTATTTTATATGCTTATATTGGCCATGTCAATCTCAATAGTTCAACTCTGCATGCAAAAAAAATGTATTAATGTGTTCTTCCCCATAACAGAGCTGAAGTATTGAGCTAAAATAAGTGTTTACAAAATGAAATACTAATAAACACTTTAAGAGAAACTTACTTCTGTTTTAAGTCAAAAGCTGATAATGGTAAAAGATGGTTAGGTTGATGTGCTCTTTAATAAGAGAAAAAAAATATATAACACCTTATTTTCCAAAACCTCTTGCATGAGCATGTCTCTTTGTGCCAGAGATAGAAGGTATATGCCTAATAATGGCCTTTTAATTTTGGCCGCTTTCTTTCCTTTTAGGAAACCAATTATGTTAATGTGCCATTTAGGTAATAACCAGTCAGCAACACCAAGATGTTAAATGGCTACACCATTTCAGATTCATTGTAATGTTGTTGTGTACTGTGCACGTTGACCTTAAACACATTACATCAGCAAAATCATTTGACATCACCCATTTTTGATTGGTCCATATTTTAACAATACCAACAACACTGCACTTGCCCGCTAAGGGTCTGCATTGTTTTAAACTGACATATGTCTGTGAGAGGAAAGGTCAGGTCCATAATCATAGAGCCTTTCCTACTGTGCACAGTTGCAAGCGCTCAGCAAGTGTCCCCATTACTGAATAACAACTGCAGAAAATGGATTCAATTAAGAAACTGAGGACAGTTCACAAAGAATTAATGTCTTTGGTCATAAAGAACATTACACTCTCACAGACACGTTCTTAATCTATTTCTTATTTAGTTGACAGTTTACATCTGCAATGACATCAAGACAGATGAAACGTTAAGTGACTAAATCTTGACATGCAATTATTTATATATATATAAACAAATACATCCATAAATACACTGACAAGCACTGACAGCTGCTGTCATCTTGATGTTTTAAAGCATGTACATACATTATTTTTAAAAAAGTATTTATTACTTTTCAAGATGAATGAACTAACTTTTGATACCTTTCAGACTCGCTTATATGTGAAAGACACGTTTTCATGAGTTTAAAAACTGATAAACGTTTGCGCCGATAGGGTTGGGGAGTGATTCCAGCATACAACACTTAAAAATAATCAATGCTTAACTACTGCAGAACACAAAAGAAGACATTTTGGAGACAACATTGGAGCCATTTGACTGTAAACCTAAGAGACAATTTTCAAAATACCTTATTTTATGTTCCACAGAATAAAGAAGTTACTTTGAATATCATATATGCACGGATGTTTGCTGCCTCCAGTAGTATTTAAAGTTCGGGTTATTAAACTATGCTCCAGTGTCTTCATAGCAACAGAAATTAGAGCAACAGGTCTGTAATCATTAGACAGCTTGGATTAGACGACTTTGGTGCAGAGGTTACCACGGCTAATTTGAAGCATTGTGAGTTGCTGAGGTTAAAAATAGCTGTGTATGCTTGAGCAGCAGAGGTGCGGGGTTTATATGGTGCACGGACAGGGATTTGAGCTGCTTGTTGTGGCTGAGGAGGGTGTTTCGATTAATTTATTGCAGAAAGAATAAATGCTTTTATATAGTGTGAATATTAAAGGTTTTTGTTGTTTATACTGTTGTGAAGGTTTGTATACACTGGTTTTATAAAAGGTGGTTGCTTAGGCAAACATCACTATTATTAAATTATAAAAATTATAGCTCAGATCAAGCAGTTTGTTCAGTGTGTTCAAAGAGATCATTATCTCTACTTAAGGTGTGATCACATTAGCGAAATTTTGTGTTTCACTTTGAAACTGAGAGGAAAAAAGCAGTGAAAGGTAATTATGGTGCATTGAAGTTCCTGAGAAGTTTGTATTTACAAGGTGGGAACATAATTATAATGCCAATTGCGTTCAAATCACTTTGTTCAGAGCAAGCTGGCAATGTACCGTTTCTACAAAAATACAGCCAGGTTTTTTTTAACTCTACTTCTACAATATGAAATTTAAAGAATGTGCATCAGTTACGTTCTTTACTTTTTTATTCATGAAGGTGCTGTAGCATACAACGATGAATCAATCATATTTTATATATTATTGAAACTTAGTTTTAGTTTTATTTATACATTTGTACCTTCAACTTCAGGCACTGCATCCATTTCTAAGTTTCCCATAATTACGACATTGTGGTGAAGTTCACATGCATTAATTTCATAAATATGATCTTCCCGACACGGCTTGAACGCAGCATACCCCATGGCTAATACTCACCTTCCAACATCTACCTTTTAAGCAGATCAGTTTTGCGAACCTCACATAACGTTAATTCATATTTATGACCCAATCCATGCCAGCTAGTTTGGCTGCATCCGCAATCACATATGATTTCACACATATAGGTGAAAAACAGAATGTGAACAAAGCAGTGTGTCTAAATTCACGGTGTTCATAAAACGGTAAGTGAAAAAGTATTCTGAAAAGAGAGATTCTAAAGCGTGCATCTGAGGGACACTTTACTATCCCATGAGGCCACGGGAGAGGATGTGTGAATGACAGTGAAGCAACGCAACTGACACTGGTAGGTCACGTGACAATGACATCATGGGAATTGAAGTATGTCTGGATTACATTCATACTACACACATTTATACTATATAAAACATACTTTTTAACAGTTGTGAAGCAAGGACGTACACTCTCAGAAAGAAAGGTACAAAACTGTACCTTTTCGGGTACAAGTGGCAGTCACTGGGGTGGTACCCTAAAGGGGGTACCATTTTGTACTTCTACTTAGAGGTACAAAATTGTACCTTATAACTTTGTACCATTTAAGGGCCAATTTTGTAACAATTTTGTAACAAAATTGTACCTTTCATCCTTGGGGAGGCTAAATAAATAATACTTCAGAAATTGGCTTACAGTTATGCAATTGTATTTATTTTTACAAAGAGAATTACACCACACCTTAGTACAGCAAGTGTCAAAAAACAGATGTTCAGTGCACAGACAAACACATCAGCCATTACTCAATAATAAACATGGTCATAAGAATAAAGCAGTCATTTAAAACAGTAAAACCTTTAACAGGAGTACAAGAAATTGTCTAAGGTGGGCAATATACCAGTAGACACGATTAACCGGAAGAAATTTGGCAACTAGCAGAGATTTTGGACCATTGTCTCTATTGTGGTTACACGCTCGTGACGTTTCTGTGCTTGAGTTTTTTGTTTTTTTTTAGGCTATATTAGTTTTTTTGTGATACTGACACTGCTGACGAGAATTATGAAATAAAATTTGTCAAATAAAATTACTCATATCGTGATATAAGATTTTGGTCATATCGCCCACCCCTATTTTATACTGTACAGTAATTACAAATTCAGTTGGACAAATACAAATTTACTGTTTAACATTGATTTAAACCTTATTAAATAGGCTACATCAAGTACAGCACATTTTGAGGTTTACAGTATAAAGCTGTTTGTCTTCAGCAAGAATATCAAGTGCTTATAAATAACTTTGTAGGTATCTAATGCCTGATAATCATCCTCCTCACCTGGAGAGAGTACAGTCCATTATTCATTCTCACATTGCTCTCAGAAATAATCACAACATAAAGCAACAGTTTAATTAAGGCTATATTAGTTTTTTTGTGATACTGACACTGCTGACGAGAATTATGAAATAAAATTTGTAAAATAAAATTACTCATATCGTGATATAAGATTTTGGTCATATCGCCCACCCCTATTTTATACTGTACAGTAATTACAAATTCAGTTGGACAAATACAAATTTACTGTTTAACATTGATTTAAACCTTATTAAATAGGCTACATCAAGTACAGCACATTTTGAGGTTTACAGTATAAAGCTGTTTGTCTTCAGCAAGAATATCAAGTGCTTATAAATAACTTTGTAGGTATCTAATGCCTGATAATCATCCTCCTCACCTGGAGAGAGTACAGTCCATTATTCATCCTCATATTGCACACAGAAATAATCACAACAAAAAACATTCTTCTTTAACTTCCATAAGCAGAGGCAGAGGATCATCAGTCTGTTGTAACTCCGTCTGTTCATGCTTTTGGTAAAAATGACATCTAAAGGTTTCAGAATTTGAAAATGTTCTCTGACAGTCATTCAGACCACGTTATTGAAAAATTTGCCTCATAAGCATGAATAAGAACAATGTGCTGCATTCACTGGACAATCATGAATATTCTCCAAAAGCATTTAGTGAAACAGAAAATGCAGGGCATTTTTGCAGGTGTTAATGTAAGAGGTTGATTACTCTTAACTGCGGTAGGTAGAGGGTTGTCACCATCCACAGTAAGTTCTTCAGTCACTGGCTTCCTATTAAACTTGGTGAAGATGGTTTGCTCTAAATGAGAAAGCACAAATCAGATTTTATCTGTGAAATTTTCTCAGCAGATCATTTTACTGATGGAGAAAAATACTCTACATACATAAAGTGTAAGATAGTTATTACATTATACCATTTGTATGTGGGCACATTAAATACATTTTAAGATTTATAAAAAACATTTATCACAGACAGAGAACAATATGCTCACCTTCCCAAGCACAATGCAGTGTTCGAGCTTCTCTCTGAACAAGGCTGGCAACATGAGAAGTGCTGCTTTTAAAACAATTCCTGAAACACAAGACATGACATACAAGTAAATATGCAGAAATCCATCCAAGGATAGAATTGGATAGGCTTAGTAAAGAGGACAAAGTTGAAGAGTCAGTTACCATGACCGTCTTCACTGAGATATTCCTCTCTAGCCTCTTTGTGCAGCATTGATAGAGATTTCCCTTGAGCAAGTCGTAGCACACTGGACGCAATGTTTCTTGAAAGTGGTGGCATAGATTAACAGATTAATACAGGAAACCACTTTCTTGATGAAGCTGCAAATAGTTAAGAAAAACACAAGTATAAGTAAATCAGAAGATTTTTTTACCGTTTCAGTGTCCAGTGTGTAATTTTAGAATTATTAGTGTAGAATTCTACACTAACATCTGATGGACTCTTCAAGAATGGATATTTGTTGACAGCATCTTCAACAGTCATCTTACTAGTAATCTTCTTTCACCAACAGGCAAAGGTCTTCTTTATTCACTCTTCAACAAGTATCTGGCGGTGTCCTTCTGTACTGGTCTTGCAGGACTTTACCTGTCCCATTATTGATGTAACATTCTCTCCAACAACATCAATGTCCTTGTGCATAGGCAAACACAAAAACAATCTGACAGCAAGTTATTTCTAATTTCTAAGCATGAAAAGGTTTGTAATAATGATACATTTGAGAACAATACACTGGTTACACGTGGGACTGTAAAAGATGATAAAAATATGCTCTCACCAAAGGCAGGTAATCTTGTAGTCTTTTTCCTTCTTCAACATCCTCACATTTAAACTTGCGTTTCAGAGACATGCACCATTTGTGCTATTTAGAATAACATTTGGGCAAAAAACAAACAGAAAATTACAAAAAAAAAAATGCTTGAACAGAACATTATAAGAAACCCGTCTACTTACATATCCATGTCTTTTAAAAAGGGGTACCTCAGAGTCAGGCCCTTAGCCATTTGAACATACTCTTCATTAGTTAAATAAATATTTTAAATACACGAGTACAGCTTTAAATGTTTAAAACTGAATGCAAGTCATTAAGACCTTGGCAGTTAAAGAAGAATACTTACATCTTGTAATGATACACGTTTTCATTCAATGTTCTAATAATTTTGTTCCTATGTGCTGCTGAAAGCCTGCACTCCTTTGGTCCAACTTAGCCTGAACATTAAGAGAGAACTTTAGAACTTTAAAAACTGCAGGAAAAGCTGTTGATGGGCTGATATTACTATGGTAAAAAAAAAAGAAGTAATAATTAGGCATTGCAATGTCTCACATCATAAAATAGTTATTAATACTAAAAAGACAAATTATTACATTAACAATGACACTATTTCCTATGTGCTGCTGAAAGCCTGCACTCCTTTGGTCCAACTTAGCCTGAACATTAAGAGAGAACTTTAGAACTTTAAAAACTGCAGGAAAAGCTGTTGATGGGCTGATATTACTATGGTAAAAAAAAAAAAGTAATAATTAGGCATTGCAATGTCTCACATCATAAAATAGTTATTAATACTAAAAAGACAAATTATTACATTAACAATGACACTAACTTACCAAGCAAATTTTACTTGAAATATGCACCCCACCCTTTTCTCGATCATTTTACTGTTAACCTTGATGAATGACTACAGAGTAAACATAAATAGCGATGCATAATTCCACATTAGAAGCCCAAATGACCATCAGTGAAGTAACGGAACACAAATATGTCATCAAGTGTTTTTTTAACAAATACATATTCGCTTGTGTGCTGTCCTTTCACTTTGTTAATCACTTTCCTGTTGAAAAAAACAGCATATGCTGGTTAGGTATGTTTTGATGCTGGGATGCTGGTTAATGCTGGTCCTTTGCTGGTTTATGCTGGTCCTTTGCCAGCCCATGACCAGCATAAACCAGCAAAGGACTATCTTAAACCAGCACATGACCAGCATAAACCAGCAAAGGACTATCTTAAACCAGCACATGACCAGCATAAACCAGCAAAGGACTATCTTAAACCAGCACATGACCAGCATAAACCAGCAAAGGACTATCTTAAACCAGCACATGACCAGCATAAACCAGCAAAGGACTATCTTAAACCAGCACATGACCAGCATAAACCAGCAAAGGACTATCTTAAACCAGCACATGACCAGCATAAACCAGCAAAGGACTATCTTAAACCAGCACATGACCAGCATAAACCAGCAAAGGACCAGCATTAACCAGCATCCCAGCATCAAAACATACCTAACCAGCATATGCTGATTTTTTCAACAGGGTTGCTTGCCGTTTGATGGCTGAATTTAGCACAAAATGGCCGTGTTTAAAGTTAATCTGAGTGATCAAAATTTGTGCGGCCCAAAACGTCATCACACTCGCAACTGCGGTAAAAAAAAAAAGTCTCAAAATATAAAACGTTACATAATCACTAATTACAATGGTAAACATTTCAAATATATGCCGATTCTCAGATACAGCTTCGTTTTCATCTGTAAAATTCAATATGGCGTCTAACCTGCCTAAGGTCTATACAAATTAACCTCCTTTAGAATTTCAAAAAAGTTTTCAGGTTTATGTGTAATTATTCAACATTTGACAAATGACAAAGATTATAGAGTGGCATACCCTGTGGTTTAGTTAAGGAGCCCCTGCTGGGCGTTCTGTCGTCTTGTCACTTTTATTTTTAAATCGTCTTATTTCTCTTCTCTGCACTAGAAGTGTGCACACACTCTCTGTTCCTCGGTAACACGCGTTTGATTCGCCCGTAAGCGCCCTGCAAAGTGGACTTCATATGTTCCCCATCTCAAGGGAGATTCCGTCCGAAAGCGGCGTTCATGTTCAGCTCGAAGCGCATTACAAACGGCGAGCCCTTTGGGGAATAAGGGTAGGGGAGAGCGGGGCACAAGGTAACACTTTTTGACTTTTTCAAAATGTGTAAATCCACATGGGGTTCAGAGTATTTTTTTTTTTTTATCCACAGTAATTTCCCACTTGTCTAGTACAAATATGTCGCTTTGTTTCATAATTACAGTGTATACGTTTTTTTAATTTATCCTCAAAAATTGGAAGTGAAATGTGACAACATGCCCCGTAGGTGGGGTACATTGTAACAGCTGAGGGGCACGTTGTAACTTGACAATATAACAGCTTAAAATGTTATCTGATAGCATTAAAAATACATACAAGACAAATTAAAATATTTTGTCAATAAAATAAAATTTTTTTTTTTTATCCACAGTAATTTCCCACTTGTCTAGTACAAATATGTCGCTTTGTTTCATAATTACAGTGTATACGTTTTTTTAATTTATCCTCAAAAATTGGAAGTGAAATGTGACAACATGCCCCGTAGGTGGGGTACATTGTAACAGCTGAGGGGCACGTTGTAACTTGACAATATAACAGCTTAAAATGTTATCTGATAGCATTAAAAATACATACAAGACAAATTAAAATATTTTGTCAATAAAATAAAATAATTATTTATTTCAAATGAAATAATGACGTTTTTTATTAATTAAAAATAATCTGATTTTGGAGTTTGGTAAACTATGGTAAAATAAATTTTTACTATGGTAAAATAAACTTTTCAATTTTAGTGCACTTTTTTTTCTCTATATAATGTTGATATAGTAACTAGTAAATGCTGTAAATTTGGTTATGCTAGCAGATGTGGAAATATTTAAACCACGTGTGTTACAACTTACCCCGCGCTCATTTATTAGTAAATAGTCTGAATTACATCGCTAATGTCACAGAATGGCACATTGTAACGCAACCTGCCCCATCTGCGCAACTGGAATTTAAAACCGGTTACTGTCTTCTGATAGTTAGCGAAGCATTAAAAAATAATCGAAACTGACGAATAACAGATTGGAGATTTAAATAATAGCAGATTTGTCTAATTTTAAATGAGTAATAAAAACTGAGATGAAAAATTGACTTAAGCCAGAAATATAATTTTACTATGGTAAAATAAACTTTTCAATTTTAGTGCACTTTTTTTTCTCTATATAATGTTGATATAGTAACTAGTAAATGCTGTAAATTTGGTTATGCTAGCAGATGTGGAAATATTTAAACCACGTGTGTTACAACTTACCCCGCGCTCCCCTACACGATATATCGCCTCACATGAAGCTGAGGGTAAAGTAGGTTGAATAATGAACGCGCTGAAAGGAGTTGAGGTTTCTGTCTGTTCGCGGGCAGAAAAAAAAGTGCGCGAAATGCGACAGCTATAGTGTGCAACTTTATGTGCACACGCACATCACGGAGACGTCTATTTAACATCTGCAAGACGTCCCTTACCAAAAAGTAGTATACTTCAAGTTTATTTTAGTAAGTATACTTAAGTAAAGTTCAAGTATATTTTTTAAGTATACTTTATGTAGTAAGTAAACAAATGTATACTTGTAAGTGTACTATTTCAATACTCCTTGGGACTAAATTGGCCCACTTTCTAGTATGTAAAAGTATACTTTTAAGTATACTTTAAGTATAACAGTAGTAACCTTTGAGTACACAACTAGTGTACATCAAAATGTTTAGTTTGTACTGCAACTATACTAAAAGGGAACTTATAGGTATACTGATAGTTTACTAATTAAATACTTGTAGTAGCATTTTTAGTACACTTTGAAGTATAGTCTCAGTAAACTACTAGTTTAGTAGTTTTATACTGCAAGTATACTCGTAAGTTTTCTTTAAGTGAACTTTACATCATACTTTAAGTATATTATTATGTCCCTATTTAGGTATTAATTTGTATACATTTTGTTATGAATATCTGAACATACAACACTTCAAAAGAACAGTGTATCTGCTTGTAAACAAAAACATTTTATTCTAGCTTCATGCATTCTTTTTTAAACACTTGAATGTGGATACGTTT